TTTTGATCATAGTTCAACCAAAGCCAAAACCGCAAATTTTCAGACTTTCCAAATGAATAGGGGTTAACAAAGAAACCCAAAACCTTAAAACAGTAATACAAACTTGAGGTACACTAAAAGATGGAAACTTTGAGAAGAGGAATACTAGTCCTCCATGAATGGATATTCCCACCGTCAAAAGACAACCAAAAAAAGGAAAGAATTTTGACATCAAAGGAGAAAATTTCATCCACGGAAACTCATTATAACTGACACGGGTCAGATTAACCTGATCAAAATGGACCAAGCAAGCAAAATCAACCTCCATTTTTTAACACCAATAACAGGGGTTGCAGTTACAAGCAAACTTTTTTTGCCAAGAATTAGCCAGAAAGATAAAAAATTTTGGCACACCTAGATCACAAAATCATTAGAAAAATCCAAAACCATTGAGAAAACTTGATCAACAACCAAAATAAGCAAGGAGAGGTAGAATCTAGCAAAAACAGAACACAAACACATGCTTAACCAAACTTTTTCAATTCTGCATTATCATCGTTATAGATCGAGACCCAACAACTAGGAAATGAATATTACATATCAGAGCAACCCACGATTCCTGAAAACCCATCTGCATCCGTCAACAATTGAAGAGAATTTGACGTTTTTCTTAGACAAACACAGCAAAACTTGGATCAAATTAGAGAGCAAAGAAGTGGGCTTTTTGATCAAAACGGCTCTCTGTTTATCCTAGAGAGTGGTATGAGATATTTCTCAAAGGATTTAGAGATAAAGAGGAAGAGGAATTTTGGTCTTTTGGCTTTGAGAGAGTGGATGAATATGAATAGTTGAGAGCTTTTTTATTTTCTTTTCTATGGGGATTTGGGAGGTGAGGTCTCTCTTTGCTTGGGTGGTGATTAAGCTTTTACTTGCTATATATTTGTAGTATGCTCATTCCTACACGTCAGCTTCCTCTTGACTATGGTAACTCTCTCTCTATATTATTTCTCCTCCAACAGATTTATCACATCCTATGGTTTTACGAAAACTAAGGTGAAAACTATGAGGAAGATAAGAGGATTATATAAACTCTCCGAGTCTCCCTTTATAAACCTTTTACTCATTGAAATCATTTTCAAGGTCTAATTGGTGAATGGTGACAATTAATTATTTCATTTTGTTATTGTTCAAGACGTTTTGGAATCAAATTACTAGGGTAACGTGTGCTTCCTTCCATCAAGGTGAAAGCAATAACAACAGTAATTTTGCTTATGAGTTTTAGTTCAACATTATCACTTCACTTAGAAAATGAACATGTTTAAGTCTCATGCATTACGATCGTAGCATGATTATGCGGTGTTTAAAATTTTTATAGTCCCAACATTGATAAATTCGTTACGAGTAGGCCACTGACAGCATCGAGGAAATTGTTGCACGTAAATTTGTGTTGTACTGTCGTACTGTTGCTTGAAATGAAATTTGAAACTACTTGCAACTGAAACAATAATTTCAGAAAGAATATATATCTTTATTAATTTCTACCCTCAGTCTGGATGCCCATTGGTCCCAATGCATAACAGGAGCATACCAACTAGTGCTAATCTACCTAGCATACCCTCACCTCTGCGGCTCTAAATTAAAGGTCATTATTATTGAGGAGAGGTCAACAATTCTATTATATATACCAAAAGGATTTTATTTAACAGGGCAATCACAGGGTGAAAAGTACCCAATCTGCCTGAATATTTGTTGTTGTATTGAGTGTCCTCATTACATCCTTTTTATAAATAAAAAACCCCCATCTTTTCTATGAAGCTACATAACTGTTAAATGAGGACCTTCATGCATTTACCATGCCAAAACATTTCGGTCCTCTTTTTGCTTTATTATGAAAGGGATTCAAAACTTAAGTTACAAGCATATTCTTTCATGACGGGTAACTTTTCTTTTCTCTCTCCTAAAAAGGTCTAAATTACACCTTGATCGACCGTCTGAAAGCAACTTGGGTTGCGTTGGGTGGGTCTGTCGATCAATGAGCCAGGTGTTAAAGAGACACACATGCAACTGAATTAGCTGTCAAAGGCACAAGGAAACATTGGCTTTCATTATGCAACATGTATGAAAGACAGAAGCTTCTTGCATGCCGTGAATTCTTGCATAAAAACCCGGTCTCATCATGGAAAAGGTTAAAAGGTAAAAATCATGGTTTCTCCTTTTAATCTTCTCTTTTTAATCTCGCCATTAAGCGCCGTAGATATAGTTATCATTTATCTTTCCATTACAAGATCATCCTTCCAATTAAAGTAAACTAGTATATTAGTTCTACTCTTTTCTTTTCTCTGCTGTTTCCTTTACCAATGAACATTAAGTAGGTGCAGTGCAGACTAATACACGCCGGTGTAGAGAGTCTTTCATGCAACGAAGATATCGTTTTTTGTTATTCCTAGCCAAAAGCACAATGAAAGGCGTAATAATTTGTTTACGTGTCTTTGCATTATTAGTTGGAAATAGTAAAACAGTGCTATTTTCGTTACAATAATTTTTTTCTCACACCGGTGGGTGGGGACTTTACCATGCATATATAGGTTTATATTGGTTAAAAGGAAAATCATTTCGTAAGTATCGATGGATAAGAAAGATGGCCAATACCTAAGAGTACATGTCTGAAAATACAAGTAGGTAGATCGAATGCTTTTTATGAATCCTATTTGGGAACATTCAAACAATGATGATGATGCAGGTGAGGTGTACAAAATATATTATATATATAGGTCGTATGTCATCCAATGTCGACATGAATATATACAAGAAGGGGATGCAGCAGTTCTTGTGAAACAGACAGCACCATCTGTCTTATAAATGCAAACTCATCATTGTTACTAGTGTGAAATATTAATCTCTAACATCGTTCAACAAATACTACACCTTATTAAAAAAGAAGAGTGTTGGGGACTGCATGAACCCTTTGTAGTTGTAGAGGTTGTTTGTGTTTTGTCTATCTATTAATTCTTCTTTTGATGGAAAATTAGATGATGTTTAATTAAGGTGGAACTTAATTGTTAATCGAGTGTGGTTAAAGCGAATGCTCTTCTGTCCGACCAAAATTAAAAGGTTTCGTGCATGTGCGTTAATTTGTCATGTGAAATAGTACGAATAGCTAGCGATAGGGTTGTACAGACGAAGTCAAGCTTAGGGAGCAAGCTAGGATATGATTGCCTTACTAATTATGATTAGCGGTTTTTAATTTGTTAAAAGCTTCCATCCAAATCCAACTTAAACATTGCGATTTACGGCAGACCGAATGAAAATGCGTGCCATGCACTAAATCTGCATTGTAGTAGTGTGGTGTGACAGCTATATAGCTTGCATAATATGGTTAATAAAAATGGCGATCTAATAATTCTAACTTTGGCAATTGGTTTTACAGACTTTGCTTGCCTGCACTGCATGTCGGATTGTTTGATAATTGCAGACAAAGAAACTCATTTGTGCTCTCAACTTTCACCTACCGCTAATTTATTTATTTATTTTATGAGAACAAGCAGAATTTCATTAATAAGAGATGTATAAGATGAACACATCTCGATGCAGGTTCTTGCATATAATAAATCCAGCAAGATAGTAAGTAATAACTATTACAAATTTAAGCTCAATTCATTCAGAGTTGACAAATAGAGGATTAAGAAGACCATTTACAGCACCAGTACTACATATGAGTATAAAAACGACTGATTCTGCATGAGCTTACCTACCGCTAGTTAAGCAGCATTAATTGCAACTAATGATCTGGTTAAATAATTTGTAACTTGATATGTATGGATACACAAAACAAATTCCACATGTATGTATTCAGAGTAGAATTATATGCATAATTCATGTGCTTTGTTTATCCAGATTGTCTCAGAATATTACACCAGGCCCGTCCAAGACCAGCCTATGTAATTAATTAACTAATTCATGTTGCCATCAATTATTGTCATTTTGACAAGAGCCTTGGGGAGATAAATAGCAAGGCTAAAACTAACACACTTGTTGGGGAGATAAATATAATTATAGTAATTATAATAACACACTTGTCACTGAGGCATGTGCGTTTCACGTAGATTTGAGTAAACAATGATTTAAGTATGTATATGAATAACTTTCGAATTAAAGTGATTGTTGTCATTTCAGAATATTTTAGTATCTCTCAGTTGAATTTAATTTCTAGGAATCTTACCGATTGTTTGATTGTATAATCAAGTACGTACCTTTTTATTAATAGTACTAATCAGTATTAATATATAAATGTTGACACATATGAAGTTATTGAAGTGAATAAGTAGTAAATAAATGGATTTTAGGGTAATTATATGAGTTTATACTCTTAGGTAAAGAAGAGAGTTAAAATGATTTTTTGTTTACGTGAAAAGTTTTATAATATCAAGAGAGAGAGAGAGAGAGAGAGAGAGAGAGAGAGAGAATATCTTAGCTTAGTAGAATATGCAAAGTATCACACTTAGTCTATTCGAAGAAAACATCATTTGTAGGTTACCTTCTACGTGTACGCTAAGTCAATAATCACATATACACGTAACTACCAACAGCAGAGAGGACTCCCGCTAAAAGAGGACAAAACCTCTGAAGCCAGAAAAACTTATACGAAACTGGAATAGTATTGTTTTGCTCTTTCCAACCAATTATGCTATGTCAAATATAAAAGTTATCACGGAAATAGTATTGTTTTGCTCTTTCTAACCAATTATGCTCTGTCAAATATAAAAGTTATCATATGACATAGCGTAATTGGCTGGTTTGTTTTGTTTTGACTTTCTTTTAATTGATGAAACCTATGGCCATGTCGTTTTTCCTTTTTGTTTTTGTCCCTCTCTTTTTCCTCCTTTTATGAAGTCATCAGTTCAAATACAGAGTACAGTCAAAACGACAAAAACCACGTGGCAACAGGGAACTCAACAAGGCAGCCTGAGAAAATTACACGACAAAGGAACTCCAAATTAACCAGCTGAAGACTATCAGAAAGAAGCAAAGTAACGAGCTGAAATTTTATATCATTTATTCGTACGTTGTGACATGAAAAAGAATCGAACACATCTGTTTAATTTCCTATCCATTTCCCCTTCTTCTCATCTAATCTAACCAAAAAATATGGAAATTTTTGCTACAAAGATCATACATGCCATGCCACCGAGAAGCAGAAGGCAGAGCAGTTTTTTTTTCTACAGGACACATTCAAAAACTTCTTACAGCTACACAACAAAAATCCGAAAATCTTGTTGTTCCCACTCCCCTGTCTCAGATATAATATACACCGTGTATTGCTTTTGAATGTCAGGGTTGCTTTCAATCTGATTAAATTGACTCACCAATGCTATCTCAACAATGCTTACACTTTGGTGGGTCACTCCCCTCTCACTTGATGTGCGCCTTCTCCAGAAACTTTTGTATCCACAGTGGTCGTGGAAGTTCGTACTTCAACAGATTCCTGAAAATATAGAAAATTTGGCAATTGCTAATCAAAAGGTAAGCCCAAAATAATGCAAGCATACGTATGTATATGTTAATAATACACCTGTTTTTTTTTCTTTTTATCAAGTCGAACAATTGTAACAGAGGCAATCACTAATCGGAAGTCTAAAATAATGATGCAATGCAGAGTGCAATATGTCAAAGCATACTTCCGAATACCTTTCCGTCTCCTTGACTCTCATCCGACTTCTGCTCATCCCTCCTTTCAACCTCTAAATTAGCAGAAACTTCACTGTTTTCCATCTTCAACACAGACACTGTGTTGTGATCTTCTTTCAAGTCCTGTATAGACCGATCACCATTCACAGAAACTCCAACATCAGAGGAACTATGGGTTGTAGTCTGAGAATGACGTCCTTCACTCTTTTCAACAACTAATTCAACTGCAGCTCCATTTTCATTATCATGTAATCTGGCTTCTCCCTCATGTCGCTCATTAGTTATTTGAGTTCCCTTGGCTGCTGCCTCTTCAACTTTTCTCTTTTCTTCTTCTCTTTGTTGTTTTCTCCGAGCTTCTTGCTCCTTTATCATTTTAAATCTGGAATATCTCAACAGATTAAGACTGCAATAGTAAAGTGCGGCAAAAACATAGAGAAATGGCAGGAAGGACTATTAACCTTTCACCAGGCCGTAGACCCTCTGGCGTCAACTTTTCTTCTTGTCTGGTATCCTTTTGTGTCAACTTTAATTCAGAGACAGACTTTTGAATTTGGAGTTCATCTTCCTTGATAAAATTATCATTTAATTGACTAACTGGATTTTTTGCACCCCCAAATTTTTGAAGCCATACTTGTTGTGCTGTGGTCAGTATGTTATTTGTGAACCTGCAAAAAATATCTCAAAGATGTAAGATAACATAGGCAGGACTATCTCCAAAAAAGAATGTTTCCACTGTATTCATGATACAGATTTATGATTCACTACAATTCCAAAAAATGCAAAAAATAACTTCAATGGTGTTCATAAAACAAAAGGGTTTTACATCTACTTACCAATAGAGACTTAGACCAGAAGGCACTGAAAGAGCAAAATAACCAATCATTAAAGGAAGAAACTTGGTAATAACTTGAGAACTCTTCATGTTCGGATCGTTACTCTGAAAGTTATAACACGTGTTAATTAATAAACAAAAAGGATAACACAAAAAGAATAATAAATAATAAATCTGACTCAAATAAGAAATCACTGTATCAAGAAGATTAGACCCTAGAAGTGCTAAGTTTATCTAACCAGGTCAATTTGGACCACGAAATCACTGACCTGTGATGACTGCATGATTTGAACAGATATGTACTGTGAGACAACCAGCAAAACAGGCAAGGCAAGATATGCCAAGGTGTCTGACCATCCAAGGGGTGGATGACCATCCTGAGAAATTTAATAGCACCAAAAGTAAATCCAAATTCCACAAATCATAGGTGGTTAGAAATCAGATATCTATTAAAGCAAGCATCACAACCATCACCTTTCAAGTGCATCGAAAATATCCTTAAATAAAAAGACATATTTAATAGTACGACACCAGAAACAGGAAACAGAGCAATTTGAGATTTGTAAAAAGCTATAATGAGCAGAAGTGTTCAGTTACAAGAATTTTGAGTTCGAACCAAATAGCTACTTAGTTTCAAGGAAAAACTTGTAAGATGGAATGTTTGGGGCAATATCTAGAGACAATGGAGTGTTTTAGGTTGAAGGTGAAGACACTCACTACAAATGGAAAAAGCCAAGAGATGCCACTTCCATTTTGTCGAGCAGCAACTGTTGTAGGACCGGCCAAGGAGGGTATCCAGAAGAAGCCTTCTGTAAGGAGTCCCTTAATAAAAGAAATGTTAAACAGTTATGCAGAGTTGAAGGAGAAAAAGGAAGTTTCTAAGAATCAATGAAGACAAATACGAAGCTGGTACCTCATCTGCCACATTTGAAAGAGCTCTATATAACCCAATCCATACTGGGATTGTTGCAAGCGTAGGCAGGCATCCTGGCACAAAAAGCAGAATAATAAGATTGAGCAATAAATTAAATTTTAGAAATTACAGTTTCGAAAGAAACTATACCTGCCAAAGGGTTTATGCCAGCTAATTTATACAATCGAGCAGTTTCAAGTTGAATTCTCTCCTACAAGTAAAAGTTTATAACTTGAGCTCATCAACATCAAAGATTCAATCAATAATGAATGGGTACATTTTATACAATGTGAAAGAAAGATGGTATGAATTGCAATTTGAACCTGATCCCCAGCATAGCGTTCTTGTACAGCTTTCACTTGAGGTTGCAAGGACCGCATAGCCATGGCAGACTCAACCTGTTTCTTGGTCAACGGGAAGGTAGCCGCTTTAACAAGGAGGGTCAAGAGTATGATGGCAAAGCCATAAGAGTAGGGAACGTGCACAGCAGAGAGCCCATCTTTCAAAAACTTGAGAACGCTTTCAAGGTAATTGGTAATCCCAGAAAGCCAATCACTGCTCTGTTTCGTTGTACTCACGCTCTCCGTCGACGACGAAGCTGACACCGCCGCATCGGCCACCGTGTAAAGCAAGCTCTCGGCTCTGTCATACAGCTCCTTCAAGACAGCTCCGGCGTCTTCCGGTTCGGGAATCAGACCGGGGCCGAAGCCGAGCCGAGCCACAGCGAGCGAGCCTCGGAGGAAGGGCTTGGGTTGCGAGAAGCCGTAGTGGTGGTGAGTTCGAGGGAGGAGAGGGTTCGGGGGCTTCGGAGTTGGGACAAGGACAAGGCTAGGTCGAAACGAGGATAAAGTAGCCATTTTTGAAGGGGATTGGGATTCGAATTTGAGAAATTAGAAACCCTAGAAGCTGGAGCTGGTGCAAAGAGCTGAGCGTGGGTTTAGCATGTCTTGCTTCTTGATGACTGACTGTTTGGATATGCGATTCATGCGAATGAGGAAGAACCGGAAAGGATGGCTGGGCTTTCCATTTTCCAATTTTACGGGACTCTTTGTGGCAAATTGACCAGAACGGCAAAATATCTCTATCGAACGACTTGTCGTTTGGCTCTCACCTATTAGTTTTGGTTGTGAGCTTTGGGCTTTGGCTCTCCTCCTTCTATGCTTCAACTTTCAAGAACTACTGCCCCATTTGACAACCATCCATGGTGATCCAAATTAGGTGTTCAAAGGCTTGGCATAGCCCATGATATTGAATATTTGTTCTAGTTATAGAGTCGATGAGCGTAATGTTATTAATTCACGTGTTATAATATAAATGAATAAAATGATTTATATTTCATGGAACTACAGTATAATGTTAATAAATAAAAATGCATATGATAACATGAGTGAATTAATAATACTATTTGCTACATTAAAAAATTTCTCAACTTTTCAAATGATCTACCATTTCCTATGCTAATTAAGTTGTTGAATTTGAAAGGAATAGAGGTTAGGGGACCATGTATGTATCTAGACCATTCTAGAGCCTCATGACTAACAAAGAACTTAACAAGTTTGTGGTTTAGCTATCAACAAAACTCTGTTTACAAGAAGAGATAAGAAAATGTTGTGGGGTATGAATATGAGGTTCTTGTTTCACCAATCACACTCTCTGGATAAGAAAAGAATCCACATAACACATTTCTATTGGATCCCATTGCCCTGACTTTGCCCCACATCTATATTTTCCACATTTCCCCACTACAACCAACCATTGAAGCCCATCATCTGATCTCACTGCCTTTACCAATCCCTCTGCACACCTGAACATCAAGCAACCAAGCAAGCAATCCAAGCTCTCCACAGAAGCACTAAATCAATGGCAGCAACCATGGCTACAATGGCAATAATCAATGCCAAGTGCATGAGCACCAACACTCCCAAGGTCGTCACCAAGCTAACCACAAAACCCACCTCCCTTCTCTCACTTCAAAACCTCCCAAAAGGCCTAACCTCCTCAAAGCCAGTTGAAATTCCCAGCATCAACATGTCCCCTTTAGCCAGCACAGCAATTGCTGGAGCCATCTTCTCCACCTTGAGCTCCTCTGACCCTGCCATGGCTGCTCAACAGATTGCCCAAATAGCCGAAGGCGACAACCGTGGCCTTGCTCTTCTGCTACCCCTCATTCCAGCCATAGCTTGGGTTCTCTTCAACATCTTCCAGCCAGCCCTGAACCAGATCAACCGCATGCAGAACAAAGGGGTCATCGTGGGGCTTGGGCTTGGTGGGTTGGCTGCATCCGGATTCATTTCAACACCACTTGCCTCAGCCAGTGAAATTGCCATGCTTGCTGCTGATGCTCCTGCTAATGACAACAGGGGCCAGCTCTTGCTGTTTGTGGTTGCTCCTGCCATTGTTTGGGTCCTGTACAACATTCTACAACCGGCTTTGAACCAAATCAACAAGATGAGGTCTTAGTGAGATGGGTTTTGGTAAAGGGTGCGATGGCACAATGATAATCAATTTACTTGTAATATTGCACCTTTTGTTAATGGGATTAATTAATATTCTCTCTTTTCATATTAGCATTTGTTTTCTCTCTCTGTTTATATGCTAGCCCAAGTGTTCAGAGATATATCTTATTATCAGTAGGGTTTGATGTGTAACTACTGTGTATTATCATATATATAATTCAGAGGTTTTCACAAATTAAATATGATATACTAACAATCTCTATCAACTCTGTATCAATTCAATTCTAATCATAGTTCACAAATCACACTTTCTTCCTTCTTTTTTTGGGGCTTGAACCGCAAAAACAACTAAAGGTTGGAATAAAGTTCATATCCAACAAGAATTTGGTCATCACAGTTGTTTGGGATTGCTAGGATTCGAGTAAGATTAGAATTCAATTGGTACTAATATCGGTGTCTTTATAGAACCAAATATTATTAAAGCACCGGGACTAGTACCAATAGAAGGGGTTCTTATTTATATGAGGATTTAGTTTAGAGTTATATCAGGTTTATCTTGAGGATTTGTTGATGAATAGAACTCTTTTTTCTCTTTTTCCTTTTCTCGCTTTCTCTGGACGTTTTTAACACATGAAATGGAGGGTCCTGATTGATGTTTCATTGTTTGTAACTGATCAAGGCGCAGGCTTGAACAGAAGAGATGGTCACACACACACACAGGTCACATAGCCCAAGCCAAAGACAAAGCCAAAAAAGCGTCCATGTTTATCACTTAGAGTCGTGCTGCCTGCATGCGCACTCACATACCATACCACGTCTCCCTTTCTCGTTGGTTGCTTCATTTACAATAATCTTCCCTGGCCGTTTTCTAAAGACAAAGTAAAGTATAATATAAAATAAGTTGCATTTTCATATGAATTAGTGAGCATATAGTTTTGTTGCTTGGTCCATTTTACTCATGCAATAAGGACATCTTGCATGCACTAACTATATTTTGTTCCACACCCAAATATATAAAATTAAGGCAAAGGCATCGAGCCAATAAGGAGGTTTAAATATGTCATATGTAACTCTTTGCATCATCCATCTCTTAATATTCAACTTGAACACATATAAAAACAAATCAACTTGTACTAGCTAGCTAAACATTTTAGCACGTAAGTTGTTATCTGAATTTGTTATTTACATATCTATAATTTGATAACATTAATATCTGTCTGGCAACAAAGTCGGATGTGACCTTACCCTTTATATATTCACTACTTTACCTTTACCTAGGAAACAAATACTACAGTAACGATGCTTCTATATATATAAAGCAAAAGGTAGAGAATGATGAAACATTCAAAATATCAGAAAATATCATTGGTTAATGCAAACATTAAGAATTGAAATTATTAATTAAATGAGGATAGTATGGTAAATTCACACTTTTTTATATTAAAAAAAATTAAAATTAAAATTAAAATCAGATAATTGATCATGTTTTTATGGAATACAACTACCTATTATCTTTTTTTAATTCTAAAATAAATTTAATTTTTTTTTTAAAAAAGCCTCTCGCAGGCACGGAAGCGCGTGTGGAGAGACTAGTCTCTATTACGGAGAAGTCCCATTTTTAACAGTGTGATGATTTGAACGGTTTATATCTCTCTTCTCTCTCTCTCTTTTTTTTTTCTTTTTCTCTCTCTTTTCACTCTTTCTTTTTTCTCTTTTTTCCTTCTCTTTCTTTTTTCTTTCTCTCCACCAGTTTTCTTCTTCTCTCTTCCAATCTCTGCAACTCAATCCCTCATCGCAATATCTGCAGCATAAGGATGTGGTTGTTGTAGAGCACAGTGATAAGAGGGCAAGTAGGTCTGTGATAGTGAAGGGTGTGCAAATTTTTTTATTTTTATGAAGGGGTAAATTTGGAAAGAAAAAGTCAACTTGTATGACTCATTAATGACATAGTTTAAAATGTGAAAAAATAACACGTATTATGATCAGAAGAGAGATAGTCCAATAGAGAAGGTTAAAGAGTGTTATTCCCCCATATATATCATCTCCTTCTCCTCAACGATTGGAAAGTTCATGCAGAGACAACATGAAAACCAGCACTCAACCAAAACTTCTCACTTTCAAATACGTGTTTCTCTCTCTCCTTCTCACTCTCCCCATTCTCCTTCTTGTCCTCCGTCTTCAACCTCAAAACCTCCGCTGGACCGCCGCCGCACCCGGTGACATCCGCCAGCCAACCGTACCCAACATAACCACCCGAGGCATCCGAATCCGACCCGGCTACACCTCGTACGAAGCCTACATCCAGCGCCAGGTCAACAAGACCCTCAACCCTAGGCTGCGACAAGTTTGGATCACCCGCGACTGGGACCGGAAGATCAAAGTCTTCTCCCAATTCTTTGAGCACCTAAAGCGCCGGAGCCTCCTCTCCAACGACTCCAAATCCCTCTGCATCGGCGCACGAGTCGGCCAGGAGGTCGAGGCGCTGCGCCGAGTCGGCATCGGCCTCGGGCCCTACCCGCCGCTGGTCGTGAAAGGGGACTTCCACAACCAGCCCTTCGGCAACGACACCTTCGACTTCGAGTTCTCCAACGTGTTCGACCACGCGCTGTTGCCGGACAAGTTCGTTGCGGAGATCGAGCGGACGTTGAAGCCACGTGGCGTCTGCGTTCTACACGTGGCGGTTGCGAGGCGGACGGATAAGTACTCGGCGAATGACCTGTTTAGTATCAAGCCGTTGGTGGAGATGTTTCGGAGGTCTGAGTTGGTTCAGGTTAGGGAGATTGACGGGTTTGGGGCTAACACGGAGGTGGTTTTCATGAAACGGGAAACGGGATACGGGGAACACATCCAACGGTCTTGATTGACCCAATATTGCCTCTCTCTCTCTCTGCAAATATTTGCAATATATTATTCACTTCAATTTTTTTTTTTTTTAAAATCTCATTTAATTTGGTAGAATTGCTATGATGTGTGCATATATAGAGACGTCTATTAGAAAATAAAAATAAAAAAATTGATGCGTTTGTCATTTTATGCTTGTTGAATTGATCGACTGAATCAAATTTGCCATCAAAATCATCAAATTTATTGTCTAATGGATAGATATGCTTTGATTTTTAATTAATTATAATCAAAAGGGCATTTAAACTTTGGATATGTTGCAGGGTACTAGAATGATGATATATATTGATTATTTTTACTTTGGAGTATTTTTTTAGGAGCTTTTCTATTAAGAAGGGCGATAGTATACTAAACTCACACACACTACAGGGATGCTAGAACTCGAACTCAGGACCTTTCTTGGGTGGAGTATTTTAAGGCTAATAAAGTTTGTATATATTCATTGGTTAATTAGAATATACTATGCCACCAACTATGTGCTCAATCAATGGTGCATACAAAAAAAAGGTTAATGGGAACATGAAGGATGGAGCCAATTATTGTCTTTTGCTTAAATCGAAATTCTCCTTTGATTTGAAAAAGGATTAGAACAAATTGTAGATTACAAAGCTGGGATCCAATTGTAATGGCCCCAATGCATGATTTTGTTGGCTGGTAGCATAACATAAAGCTAAAAACTAACGGAGCTA